TTAAAGAGTCCTCTCCTGCTGATGTTCAGGTGTATATCAGTATGTAGTGTCTCTACCTTTAAAGAGTCCTCTCCTGCTGATGTTCAGGTTGTATATCAGTATGTAGTTGTCTCTACTTTAAAGAGTCCTCTCCTGATGATGTTTCAGGTGTATATCAGTATGTAGTGTCTCTACTTTAAAGAGTCCTCTCCTGCTGATGTTCAGGTGTATATCAGTATTGTAGTGTCTCTACTTTAAAGAGTCCTCTCCTGCTGATGTTCAGGTGTATATCAGTATGTAGTGTCTCTACTTTGAAGAGTCCTCTCCTGCTGATGTTCAGGTGTATATCAGTATGGTAGTGTCTCTACTTTAAAGAGTCCTCTCCTGATGATGTTCAGGTGTATCAGTATGTAGTGTCTTACTTTAAAGAGTCCTCTCCTGATGATGTTCAGGTGTATATCAGTATGTAGTGTCTCTATTTTAAAGAGTCCTCTCCTGCTGATGTTCAGGTGTATATCAGTATGTAGTGTCTCTACTTTAAAGAGTCCTCTCCTGCTGATGTTCAGGTGTATATCAGTATGTAGTGTCTCTACTTTAAAGAGTCCTCTCCTGCTTGACAGGTGTATATCAGTATGTAGTGTCTCTACTTTAAAGAGTCCTCTCCTGCTGATGTTCAGGGTATATCAGTATGTAGTGTCTCTACTTTAAAGAGTCCTCTCCTGCTGATGTTCAGGTGTATATCAGTATGTAGTGTCTCTACTTTAAAGAGTCCTCTCCTGCTGATGTTCAGGTGTATATCAGCATGTAGTGTCTCTACTTTAAAGAGTCCTCTCCTGCTGATGTTCAGGTGTATATCAGTATGTAGTGTCTCTACTTTAAAGAGTCCTCTCCTGCTGATGTTCAGGTGTATATCAGTATGTAGTGTCTCTACTTTCCATTTCCAGCAGGTTTCTTGTTTAACCAACCTTCCAGACCTTTGAGGACAAACCGTGTGCAGTTCAGTTTGACCTTGTCTCAGATAGGATGACCTCTCAGGGATGGAGGTGTTTTGTTTCGTTGCTCTCCACGGCCTGCACAGCTTCCTCTGAGACTAACAGAAACATAAGAAAATGTTTCCTGTGCAGGCAGAGAAGAGGGGGGGGGGGGCTCGGGGCAGAAAGCAGGAAGAGACTCAGAGCACTTTGATCTCCTCTCCTCTCACGGGCTGTTCTCACTAAATGGGTCTACTTTGTGCCGCTGCTCCGTCTGCATACAAATGGCATATAAGGAGAGATGTGGCTTTTTAAAGTCACTGCTCTGAACTGGAGCAGGTGAAAAGACGTGGCTGAGAAAGCAAATGTTGCATCAGTGCGACAAATGGAAACCATGATGGGTATTTCTCTCCGCCTATTTGATCAATTCAAGTTGTCTCGTCTCGTTTAACGCCATTTGAAATTCCTCTTTATAGCAAACACTCACTTCAAGCTATTTTCCATGCATCTTTTCTTGGGACAGGATCATGCTTCAGAAATGGGACACAAATATCCCGTTTTCCACTGAGATCCGTTTCTCTGCTGGTGCTAGTTCTGTTCACAGTTTGTACATCTTGGTAACCAGTTTGGTTTTCCACGGCCCGGTGCTCAAGTGGAGCCACGTTATGACGTCACTGTTTACGCCACTGGTGTTTCTCAGCAACGCCAGCTTGTTTATCCATCACAATAACAACAATGGCAGACTGCTTTCGAGTTGTTTTTCTGTTGCTCTTATTCTTACGAAGATTGAATTAAAGAACGACTCCTCCAGCTTTATACTGTCCACCAGACTGACCTGTGGAATAGTCTGTTGGCCGTCTGTAGGCCGTTGTTGTGAGTGTGGACGGTCGGAGCATATATAACGTTAGCTTAGCCGATCTCCATTCAGAAAACACGCATTTTTAAAAGGTTTTCGTCTGTCTGCAGACTTGTCAAAGCATTAATTCATGGTTTTTACTAACCGGTATCAGTATGTTGTTACTTCGGCATCATTTAGAAACGTGTATTACAATTAAATCACGGTCAAATATGTTCATCTTGTTGTAGTTGTAGCGATTCTCTCTCTAGTTTAGCATACTCAGCCCGACTCAGCCTGGTTGTTCCTGGCCCTAGAACCACCATTTAGTTGGGCCAGAAAAACTGTGAATTAGGACCCGCTAGCCGGTACTAGGCCAAGTGGAAACGCAACCAAAAACGGGCCCCGCACGGCTCGGCACGCTTAAAGCGAGCTACCCGCTGCAGTGGAAACGCGCCATTAGAGGGCCCTGTGTGTGTGAAGTGATGTGAACAGGACGTGAGAAATGTCTCTGCTGGGGGGAGGAGCCACGATCTGGATCACGATCACTTTACAACCCAAGTGCTGTGAAGGCCGGACAGTTTCCCTGCTTGGTATCATAGTTATTGGTTTAATTTATTTCATAGGTCTTAAAGGGTTTTATCCATTAACTATTTATTTAAAAGTTTTGAATAGCAACATTGTGATTACGTTGGTCTTTTAATATTTTAATCGTTTAACCTTCATTAGAATTATTAGAATTTGTATTAAATATTATCTTTTATTTTATAGAGTTTTATTTTGTTGCATTGAGTCACTTAGTCTTGTGTCTTAACTTTCCGAGAGGAATCATTATTTATTTGATTGTATTTTATTTAACCTGTTAAAATTATGTATTGTGTTGCTCTGCTGCATTTATCTGTAAAGGTTTTAACATCTGATCTGAGGGGACTTTCTTGTTGTTAATATTAACTTTTGATGTGTTGCCATTTTGTAAAGCACTTTGAGCTGCACGTGCTGTATGGATACAGCTTTATTATTATTATTATAAAGCGGTGCAGGAATGAGTCCTTAAACCCGGAATTTAGTCAGCGTTGTACAACTTCCTGTTCCCTTGCCTCGAAGTTAACAAAACCTTTAAGTATCATATACGTGTTTTTCACACAGAGATTATTTTCTGCAATAATCCCATCTATGGAGGGAACCAGGGAGATGCTGCCTTCATGGTCCACTACAGAAATAAGTCGTCCCTGCACCACTCTAAAGATGCATTTGTGAGTTTTGCACACAGAGTGCTCAGCGCCAAGAACACGATGATAGAAAAAAGAAACTCTACTTCCCTGAAGTCCTCCAATCTTTCCTGACATGATGTCGGAGAAGAGCAGCATGATTCATCTGAGCCTGATTTATCATCATCATCAAGTCAAGGACACGATACACATGCCACATTTCATGAAGGCAGCCTCGTAGCTGGTTAGTCAGAGGACACACACACACACACACACACACACACACACACACACACACACACACACACACACACACACACACACACACACACCACACACACACACACACACACACACACACACGCGCGCGCTGCAGGGGTTTATTGGCTTTCTGCTGCCTGACCAGATGTGTGGGTGATGGGCTCTTCCTGTGAGTTCAGACTGTGAAAAAGAGGGCAGACTAAAATGATGCAGCATCTCTATAGTTCTGTAATGTAAGTTTTAGTTGAGGGACATGATGCCGCTAATTTGGGATTCAATCTAAGACCCGTTTGTATGCAATGGCTCTTTATGAAATGCATACAAAAATGCACTTTTCCAAGTCTTTACAATCATTGACAAAAGAAATCAATATCGTCTTTTAGCCTCATGTACTGTAGTTTACAATGAAAGCATAAATCAATGCATGACAGATTTTGTGGAAGGACTTACTGACCTTTAAACATGCTATTAAATAAAGTCCATTATGACATTTCAATGTATTTTACTACAATTATATGTCTGCTTTTAGAAAAGAGAAGATTCAAAACACACATTTAGGATTCTATTCTACTACATTTGTCTGCAATTTAGGTTCTAGATTCACAAAAAGTCACATAACATTTCAAACAACTTGTAACATAAACAAATGGGGAAGTTTCACTGTACTCGCAAAGATGATCTCTTACTTGAATCTTCCTGTGACTCTGGACATCACAGCACTTTGACCTCGCCTTATCTTACTCAAATCAGTCACTATAGTTTGTAAAGACCAAGAAAGTTGGCACCCGATGTAATGGTAATCGTGAGACTCGCCTCTCATATCAACCTGGGCAGTAGAGGAAAAGTCAAGCGATCGTCCTCTGGGAACCATGAATGTCTGGAACCCACGTTACTGCGTCTTAATCCTTTACATGAATCCTTTCGATTAAGTGTTTTTGTACGTATGTGATGTCTTGTTTGACGCTGCAGGGCGTTCTCTCAAGATTCAAGGCTTTATCATCATGTGCTCAGCAGCTACAGTGTAGACATGGCAATGGAACTGAAGTCCTCCTCCAGCGGAGCAACATGAATATATATAGGGCATAAAACAAAGTAAACAG